CCTTTGAAGAAATGAAAGAGAAAAAAGCAATATCTACTTCATTTTTTTGACACAAGTCCATACTCTATTAACATTATCAGACTCCATGATCCCATAATAATATAACAAACAGCTCAATGAGATGTGATTCTTTCTTGAGCCAGCAGCCAATCAGCTCTACAAGCTGAAATTGAAATTTAAACAATGTCTTAAATGGTGTAATTGAAATCTCAAGAAAATGAAGATGTTAATGTATGAAGTAACAGTTTTGCAATTGCCCTCAGTGAGTAACCACTACATTGAGCCACTTCTAAATTCTAGTTCTTTGCATTGGTCTCAATATCTTGCATCATTGTAGTTTCCTTCTTATTTTGCTTGTGAGATATTTGGGTCTTAGTGTCTGTATTTTCATCCATTACCTGGTGTACTGCCTGATGCACCTTATTTCTTCAATCTCAGGATATTCATTTCTGGCTGTCTTGCTCTTACAGTTTCCTTTTTTCCAAAATTTTTGGCGTTCTATGAATACAGTGTTGATATTGCATTCGATCTTAGTTTGGTTATAACCATGTTAATGTTCCCAGTTAAAATGGAGCAGCCAGGCAATGAAAAAATTTTCAAGAGTAGGGCTGTATTTCAATATAATTATAATCTATCTTAAGATTTCTTCAATTAAATTTTGCATTGGCCAATTATTCCAATGATGAATTTAACATTACAGTCCTTTATTCCCAGGTAGCAGAGAGGGCTTTGTACTTGTGGAACAATCATCACATTGAAAACCTAATCAAACAGAATCGCAGAGTTATACTTCCACTTATCTTCCCTGCCCTGGAACAGAATGCCAGAAACCACTGGAATCAGGTAGTTCAGAGCTTGACACTAAATGTCCGCAAGATCTTTTCTGATATTGACCCCGAGCTCTTTGAGGAGTGCTTGCAAAAGTTTCAAGAGGACGAAGCACGAGAGAAGGAGATGAAAGTAAAACGTGAAGCCACGTGGAGACGCTTAGAAGAGATTGCTGCAATGAAAATGGCAAGTAATGAACCTGTGCTTGTCTCCCCAACAACTACTCGGAAGCCATCCCGTTAGGACTACAGTTCTTTGCATTGTAGCTGCTGCAGTTTCAGTTCAAGCTCACTACCCAATGTAGGTGGATGGGGTGATTTTGGAAAGTAGATGGTCTACCCGAGTTTTTTCTTGCACTGGGTTTTTAGTTCCTAGATTCAGATGCAACAAGAGTCAAGATGCAAGGGTCCAGGTAAACTGTAGCACTTTCTGCTTGAACATTTGCAGAATGTATATACTGGATTCGAGGACAAAACTGGGAGTGCTGCCAAGGTTCGAAGAGAGTGTCTTCTTAAAGTAGACCTCTTTTCCCCTCATATCCAGAATGGGGACAAAGTAAACCTGAATTTCAACATCTTATCTGTTCAGACTGTTCTTATATTTCTAATTTGGATTAATGTAAGTGCTTTTCAATGTTGAATGATTTATGTTTATTGCATTACATCATTCTAAATTTCCTCAAAAAAAAAAGGCTGCGTGATATTGATGGTAACCTGCAAATTTTTGAATCATGATTTGAAGCTTGAGTATCGGATTTTCAAGTGTTTTGCTCATAAAAAGTACTCCTTGTTTTGGATTGAAAAGTGGGAAAGAATCCACATTTCGCATCAGGAACAACACCTGATCTGACGACACTCAATTCCATGCTCATGAGTGAAATAAGAGTGTAAGCAACCCTTCTGGGCTACGGTTATGGCCTTTTGCGTTATTGTTAGGGGTACATGTTTGAGTGAGATTTTTTTAGTTGATAGAAATTTTTTTTAACCACGTTGAATGGATGATAAACTATACAAAAGAAAATGATTTTTTTTTTTTCAAAGAAAAAAGAATTTCTCTGCATCAATCTCAAGATTGAACTTAAGAACACTAATATGAGGATTTAATTTATTAACCACTTAATCATCTTTATAGTGCATTTATTGTACTTTTTTACTATTAGTTTTCGTGAAAAAATAAAAATTAACTTACAATTTATTAGTTGTTTAATTAAATTATTTCATGTGAGATTAATGTTGACAATAAATTTACTTTCGTTATTTTTTCAATTAATTTAAAATTAAAATTTTTTATTAATTTCCTTTTTACCTTTTCTTTTGGAAAAAACCCTTGTTTTTTTTTATTTTTTTTCTTAAAAATTGATTGTGATTTTTGAAAATATATACCAATAAACTTATTTTAATTTAGTAATAAATATTAATTATTTTATTAGTTTATGCTATTTTTACATAATAGCTAAATTGATAAAATTTTAATCTCTTTGTTTATTTTTAATATATTTATTTTGACTTTTTAATTTTTTAATAAAAATTTTAGATGAAAATTTAATAATTTATATGAATAATAATTGAAATTTTTTTTCTTCTTATATGAAATTCTTATCAAATATTTTTATTTGATAAAAATTTTTTAATTATTTTTATTTAAAATTTATTTTTTAAAAAAATTAAAAAATAAATATACCTAAAAAAAAAGAAAAAATAATAAAAGATTACATGTACTTAGTAATAATATGTGTGGTTATAACCATAACCTCCATTTACATTTTTGGACGCAGTTAACCATGCTAGCAGTATCTTGTAGATAATTATGATAATTTTAAAATTAACGAGAGATTGGTTGTGTGGTTTTCAAATATAAAACCTTTAATTTCAAATATTTGATCTACTTTGAAATTATGCAGTTAATCCTTCATGTACTAAAATTATATATATATGTAACTCCAAACATAGTAATTTTAAATTTTAAAAATGTTAAATTTAAACTTCTTTAATTTTTTTAAGAATTATGCTATAAAACACTTATAATTAAATGGAATAATCTATCCCTAATATTAAAAAGTCTCTCTGAATATGTAAATAATAATTAATGTTTACAATTCAATACCATTTATCCTAATATATATATATATATATTACTTTCTGTAAAGTTGCAAAATAGAAAGCAAGTAATCCGCACTACTGACTTTAAATTACTTTAAGTGAGCCTAAGTAATGACAAAACAGAATCCTGAAGAAAGGGGCTTTTTCTAATTTTGGTTTTACTTTTAGTGGATTTCTCGTGTTTTACAACTTAGAGTTCCAAAATTCACAGTTCCCAAAAAAACATGTCAGATGAGT